TAATGTGTAAGAAGGGCAGGGTTGTTGGGGGATTTGATGAGTTAACACGTGGTACAGCAGTCAGCATGTCCTGTGTGTCGGAGAGAAGTGCCCTTGTTCCAGTTTCACTGTTAAAAGGAAAGAAGGTTTAATAAGCAAACCACCCCTGATACTTGTCTAATAAATAGTTAAGCAAAATCCTAAGTTTTGGAAATCCAAAAAAAAAAACCAAAAAAACATATTGTATCTCTCATGCATTGCCCACGATGGTTTTTTTTTTTTTTTTAAGCTCCTGCTATGATAGTTTTAGCTTGTACACTAAGATTTTTTTTCTACCTCAGACACCTCTGTAGTCACTTATAACCTACACCTGTCTTCTGTGGAACTGAAGCGGACAGATGTTTAGCAAAGGAAAGGGCACTGGGCTAAGAGCAGGAAGAGACGAGTCTGAGGAGCAGCCATTGGAGAAGGCTGCACTCTAGTCATCGGCTCAACAGGCCAGGAATTGAAGTAAAGCTCAAGCGTATTCACTGAAAACACATAAGGACCTTTTTATGTCAGACTTGGGGAGATACACAAGAAGGAACAAGAGTTCCACCCTCAGGGACATGATGCTCTGCCAGGTGGGGGTGTCAAATGAGCAGTAAAACACCAGGAAAGCCTGTGCGGGGCACTGGGAGGACCGGGTTCCTGCTGGGGTGGAGGGTGTGCAGGGAAGGCGCCTGTGACAGACAAGGAACTGGGAGTTGGAGGTGAGCAGAGACAGAGGAGTGGAGTTAGCTGGGAGACTGCAGAAGCCTGGGACAGCTCCGTGGAGAGGGTGAGCTTACCCCAAAGACAGGTCAGAGCAGGGACCTCAGTCAGGCCTCCAGTCAGGCCTCCAGTCAGGCCTCCAGTCAGGCCTCCAGTCGTAGCCCACATGCTGTGGGCACAGTCTCGTGGAGACACATTTCATAGGATCATCAGTGGTGGGCCAGAAATCACTGGCCTGCCGTTCTCCAGGAAGTCGAGTTTTCAGAAGTTATATTTAGGCTATTTTTAAAGTAAATTGAATGTTTGGCTTTTATTTTATTTTATTTTTTAAAGCTTGATACTGGTATTGAATATAATTCATTTCTTTAGTTGTGCTGGAATTGTGTTTGCATTTTTGCCCTCTGTGAATATACTTCTTCAGAGTGATTGCCGCATTCCTACAGGTAAACGCTACGGTGTCTTCCTTGGTTAAAACAGTCTGGTGAAAATGTGGTTCTCAACACCACGAGTGTGGGGAGGTGGTTCAGAAAAGTGTTTGCTGCACAAACACGGGGACCTGAGTTCAGTCCTCAGCACACAGAAAA